TTACATTATTCAGTTTCTCATGTTCAAGTGTCCTCGCAACAAATGCAGTCCTACTCCACATAACAGAAGTGTTCTGATCTTAGGACGTTTTAGAAGTCACTCACATTCACTCACAAATATGTTCAATGCATGAGATTGAGATATCATACGTTTGGCCCTCATATAAGTATCCACTAATGTGAGAACACAAAAAATAGGATCAAATAGGACTTGTCATTGGCTTGTAATGTATGCTTAGGAAAGGTAGGATATTCATTTGGGATAAAGTAACTATTTCCTCCTTAAAAGTTGCATTATGCTCTCAAATGTTTTTCGTTTCTGCATTTGAACTTTGTTTTTTTGGAAACTTCTCCTCATTTATTTTCTTTTTTTTCTCTCTTTTTCCCTTCTTGTCGTTGGAGGCTTCTTTTTTCTTTTTTTTTATTTCTAGCTTTTCTTTCTTTGCTTTTTTTTGGACTTTCACATATTTGAACTTTTCACTTTGTTACCCAACTTAAATCGTTTGCGTTGGGTGGATAATTCATAGTGCGCTTAAGGAGGTGAGACCAAGGGATATGCATTTATGCACTTAAGAGAATACATGTTAAAATGTGGTTATTCAAATAAAAAGTTTCAGGTGCGAAATGAAAGTTCAATGGATAACATGTCATTAAGTAAGCTTGAAAGGCACAATATAATAAAAGAAAGTCTATAACCATTTCCTAAGTCAAATGTTGCTCAACATTTTGCATCAACCAACATTCTGGCCAAGTTTTAGATCAACAAAGTCATGCTATTGAATTTTATATCAAAAGTTCACCGCACAATGCACATGAAACAATGATGTCAAATTTGTTTTAGTCTTAACTTTAAGCAAGATAATTTCTCAAGTATTACATAAGTATATCAAGAGATACCAAAAGAAGTCTTATAGGTCACAACAAAGTTGGTTTGTCTTACCAAATAGTTTAATATTTTTTTCTTATGCATACTATTAATTATGTTGGTACCAACCAAGTCAAACTATTTTTTTCTTATGCATACTCTTAAATATTTTTTCTTCTTTTTTTACACAAGGTTAAACAATTTTTCCATTTTTTGACTAAAGTTTAAGAACTTTATATATTTATATATATATTAAAGTAAGAAAGATAAAACATTTTTATTTTGAACTTTGAATAACAAATATTTTTTCTAGATTTATGCAATGAGGGCTTTAGATATTTTTCTTGATTGGACCGAATCTCAAAATAAGACTGTTTATGTATCTTGTCAAAATAACAATCAGGTCAAACGTAGTTCACAAAGCTTGAAACATAGAGTACGAAAACATTTTTTTTTGTTTAAAGAAGGATAATACTTTTATTTTTTTTAACAACATTTAACAAACTTTTTTTTTTTTTTACAAATGATTCAAAATCTCTTTTTTTTTAACTATTAAACTTATATCACCGAACCCAGGAGAATTAGGTGTGCGTAATTCTTAAATTTTTTAACAAACTTTTATTTTGTTGTAGAATTTGAATGCAAACCTTTTTTATCTTCTTTTTTTTTCGAACAAGGAAATAAGAATTTATTTTTAAAAAGAAATAATCTTCTCTTTTTTTTCATTTTATTGAACAAGGACCACCGAACTTTAGGAGGGTTGCCTACGTATCTCAACGATGTGAGAATTAGGTACGCATAGTTCACGAGAATTTTTTTAAAAAAAAAAATGAATTGGAAAACTTCTTTTATTTCGGACATCTTATTGCATAAAATACAAGAATTGAACTATTAGAGATTTTGGTAATATATATATATATATAGTAGAAATCATTCAAATTAACGTAGCAAGTAGCACATAGTTATGAACATGTTGGTATGAAAGATGATTTATATCCCAGATGGACTCGAACCCTGTATTAAGTCGCATTAAATTAAAGATGCATACCATGCAAATAAAGTGAATCCTATTAAGGACAATAAATGTCTAAGGCTTATTTTAGTAAGTTTAACAACCTAGTGGGATAGGTGTCAACACTTGTTGTAAAACGAGCGGACAACTCGAGTTGAGAATGGACAGCTTACTGCTAGTAGGGTTTTTCGGCCTCACAGTTGGTCATTCTCATCTTAAGACATGTGTTACTGTAGAATCCTACCCATGAACATTGTTGCATCTCTGCTTTCTCATGGCTCGGGAGCGTAATCGTATCTCCAAATAATGTATCTCAGAAAATTCAAATTGGTTCGCGAAATAAGACAATTTATATGACAGTTCACATAATATCAAAGCAGTAAAACTGAGAAAATAACACATTGGGCCAATAAATACAATATCCAAAAAATGAAAATAAATAAATAAATAATAAAGTCATACACAAGTCAATATTTACAAGCTCGAATTTTGGTTATCCCCAGCGGAATCGTCATCTGTCACACCTCATTTTTTCAAAAATTAATGTTTCAAAATAAAAGTTTTTCCAATTAAAGTGACATTTTGAAATTGAGTTTTGGTATTCCAACTCACCTAATCTAAATCTCCAATTAAAAGAAAGTTGACTATTTATTCTTTTTGTCCGCGAACTAGAAATTCAGATTAAAAATCCTATTGATCGAAAAAAAGGTGTGAGGCACCCCTCGAGTCCCGAGGTTTTAGCACAGTCGCTTTGTTGACTTATATCTGGCTTGAATTAATTTTTAGATATATTATGTTTATGAACTTTATAAAAGTGTTTATTACCCGCTTTCTTTAATTTATTTTAAACTTATTTAAAACAGTCTTATTTATTAAGATGTTATGACGATCGATTACCGTCGTTATAGAAAAGCCAACGGGGAAATTTTTTGGACCGAAAAACTTTTTGTTAGTATCTTAAAATTTTCCAATCTAGTTCAGATATGAACGAAATCGGAGTCAGTGAGGTCTAGGAGATTTGGTAACAAATGGGGGATAAAATTATGAATTTGATCATATGAATAGATATCTAAGACATTAAGGAACTCGTACAACTTTACGGAATCGAATTTGGGAAAGTAGAACTTCTGAAACTGAACTTAGCGTGAACGGGTATTTTCTGAGTGTCATGGAATAAAGGTGTGTTGTGAAATGGGGGTTTAGCACTCTTAATTTATCTCTATGTTTCCGTTCAAACCGCCAAGGCGGGATTTTCCCTCCAAGGTAGAGCCGTTGTAGCGGAGTGAGGATCGCTATGGCGGAGCAAACGCGACTTAAGTCGGAACTAAACCCGAAAAATGATTTAATCTGCAATTTTCGACCTTGAGAGCTAAGGAACAACCCCAGGTGTATTCTTGACAGCCTTTAACCATTCTTGAGGCTAACGGTAAGGTTTTCACTCCCCAAATCCATTTTTCGATCCTTAGAACTTACTTTCTTGGGTAATTATCGATGGGGGAGGGTTTTGATCTAGGATTTATTGTAGAAAAAACCCTAATCTGGGTATGGTGATCAAGAGTTCGACCTAGGGTTGATTTTATTGATTATAATCCAGGTATTTTGGTCTTGTTTATTGACCCTCGCATTATATTGATTGTTTGTAGACCAAGAACAAACGGTAAGAATTCGAAAAGGGAAGAATCAAGTTTCTTAGGGAATTCAAGCTTTGTTCGAGGTAGGTGATGGTTGTGATTTCTTGTTTGTGTGATATATATTTGTAATTTCTCCATTTTATGCATGTATGTATGCGAACATTGCATGATTAATCACACTAATCGTAAATGAGGATGATTTAATAATTGTATGCCATGAATCAACACTTGATTGTATAATTATGAGAATGTACATTGTGTTTGTGATTGTGGCTTGTTAAATGGATCGGGTGTTACGTTCCAACATACTAACTGGGATCGGATGTCACGTACCGACATAAATATTGGAACGGGTGTCACAATTTGACACACTAACTTGAATCGGGTACCACGTAGCTGTACACTAACAGTTTGAGTATGGATTTCATTAGAGGACCAATGACTTGGCATATATGTATATCTTTGAGATGGTGAAATTGTACGTTGTTTGTAAGTGATAATTGATATTGTATATGTTTATTATGTTGTATGCATGTTTATTATGTTGTAATGACTTATATATGTTTCACCTATTGGGATAGATGTGTGGTCCTACCAGTACACTGTGATTGTGTATTGATACTGCACTTACTCTTTCTTTGTTGAGTACATGGCATCTTTAGGCGGCTATTGATAGACCTCGTTAAGAAGATCAGTGATCGTCATCGAATTCAAGAGTGAGTCAGTTCTTCCGAGCTTCCTTGAGTTTGCTTTTTGTTTAGTCTATTTTCTTTGGACTTAGACGAGTACATTAGGTACTCCTATGTTTAGTTAGGGTTGCAGCCATTTTTCCTTAGACTGTGGTTCCTTGTTAGAGTTTTGGTACATTCAGTTTCAGGTTCTAGGCAGTAATTCCGCAATCGTTTGTTAGACTTTTAGAGTTTATGAGAACTCTACTTTATTTCTGCATTTAAATCTGCTTCCGTATCTTTAAATGCGTAGTTTCAAGGTTAGTTGGGTTGTAGTAATGGTTCTCCCACCAGAGGGTTAGCGTGGGTGCCAATCATGACGGTCTGGGTTATGACAAAGTTGGTATCAGAGCCTTAGGTTCGTTGATCTTGATGTACCAAAACGAGTCTAGTAAATTCTTGCAGAACGGTACAGAGACGTCTGTACTTTTCTTCGAGAGGCTATAGGACTTTAGGAAATCTCTTTGTTTTCTCTTGTTTTCTTTTGTGCTATAACTTGGTTCCAATTGGTATTTGGTAATCCAAATTGGTATCTAATCTCATTCACTATTCTGTCCGCAGATGGTTAACACTCGCTTCAACGGTGTCAGGCCCATAGCTCCCCTCAACGAACCCACTTAGGAGTCTGCAGCAAGAGGTCGCGGTCAAGGCAAGGGTAGATGAAGAGCTAGGGGTAGAGGTTGTGGAAGGGTAGCATCCGCTAAGGATGGAGCTCCGGTTGAGAATGCTCCCAGAAATGAGTATCCTCATGATCACCATGAATAGATAGAGGAGAATGTAGAGGTTGAGAATGATGAGGATGTTGGACAAGAGGAAGAGGTGCAGGCTGAGACTACAGGTATCCCTCCCTTAGACCCAGTGTTAGCTCAACAGATTATGTCGTTCCTGAAAGATTAGGTTGGTTCTGGAGTTCTTCCCGCAGTTTAAGCAACTCAAGCTCTCGCCAATCCCCCTATTGCTATCACTATCCCCAAGATGGGTGGAACTGTAGGTATTGATGCTTTCTTCCGTCCTTTGTTGGGTCTTGTTATGACTGGTAATGATCATGAGATGTTGACTAAGTTCTTGAAATTAAAACCGCATGTGTTTCATGGTTCTGAGAGTGAGGACACCTATGAGTTTATTCTAGATTGTTATGAGAGGCTTCATAAGTTGGGAATTGTCCATCAGCATGGAGTAGAGTTTGTGAGTTTTCAACTTCAGGGCGAGGCTAAGCAGTGGTGGAGAGCTTATGTGGAATGCAGATCTTCAACTTTCCCCCCACTCACATGGACCCAGTTTCATGCTCTGTTCTTGGAAAAGTATGTGTCAAGTATGTGCCTCGGACTTTGAGGGATCGTAAGAAGGTTGAGTTCATGCTTTGGAGTAAAGTGGTATGACTGTGGCTACTTATGAGGCCAAGTTCCATGTTTTGTCTAGATATGTTACGCAATTGGTGACTACTGTAGAAGAGAGGATCCGTCTATTTGTTAAGGGACTGAATTCTGAGTTACAGGTATTGTTTGTGCACATGACTTCTGCAGGAAAAAGTTTTAATGAGGTAACAGATTTTGTGAAGAAAGTGGAAGGGGTGAGGAGACGGTCAGGCCAATGCATTGACTAAGAAAGCTAAGAATGCAGGTAACTTTCAGGGTTCCTACTCCAGAGGTTCAAGTAGGCCAACACTTGCAGCCCAACCAATTCAGTCTGTCATGCCCGCTTCTACAGGTAATTACTCCGGAACTCCACCTTAGAATTTGATTCAGGATAGCCAGAGAGTTGCACCTTCGACGGATAATAGGCCATCTTTTGATCGCACTTGTTATAACTGTGGAGAACCTGGGAATATGAGGAAAAATTGTCCCCACCCACGCATGATGAATTCCGCGCAGCAGCAGACTAGAGCAGTGGCACCCACTGGAAATGGTAATAATGGTCGAGGGCATCCACAAGGTGGGCGAAGAGGAAATCAGTGAGGCCGCGGAGGTCGCAGAAATGGTAACGCAGGCAGAGATATGGCGCAGCTAGGCAAGGAAATCGCCCATCAATATAATAGGGATCAGTGTTATGCATTTCCGGGCAAGAGCGAGGCAGAGACGTTTGACGCAGTGATCACATGTACTATTCTTGTCTGTGACCGGATGGCTAATGTATTATTTGATCCGAATTCTACTTATTCTTATGTGTCCGTGCAATTTGCCTCAAATTTTGATATGATTTGTGATATACTTGATGCCCTCATCCATGTTTCTACCCCTGTTGGAGAGTCTGTCATAGTCACTCATGTCTATCGTGCTTGTCCTATCTTGTTTATGGATTTTCATACTTGGGGTGATTTGGTTATTTTGGATATGACTGACTTTGATATAATCTTACGCATGACTTGGTTGTCCCCCTATTATATTGTGCTTAATTGTAATACTAAGTCTATAACTCTAGAGATCCCCGGTAGGGAAAAGTTAGAGTAGGAACGGGTGTACAAGCCTAAGCAAGCTAAGATCATATCCTTCATTCAGGCTAGGAAACTGGTGGGGCAGGATTGTTTGACTTTTTTAGCCCATATTCAGGATGTTGAGGTTGAGTCTCCCTCTATTGAGTCTATTCATGTGGTGTCAGAATTT